TATATATATGTATACACACACACACACACACACACACACATATATATATTTGGAAAATATTTATTTCCAAGAATATGGAGACCAAATACTCAAGTACATATTATATATTAGTTTAAATTGGGCACATGAAGTCTAACAAATAAATAACAATAATTCTTGGAAATAAATGCTTTTTATATAATATATATATAAGTCTCTTGGAAATATATTTCATGGATATGATAAACATAATAAATAACAATAATTCTTGGAAATAAATGCTTTTTATATAATATATATAAGTCTCTTGGAAATATATTTCATGGGTATGATAAACAAGTACATATAAGCCTTGGAAATATATTACATGTATATACATAAAATGAATGGTTAGCAAGATATTTTATGCATATTTCCCCTTTTCAATAATTGGGACTTAAAATGAATGGTTAGCAAGATATTTTATGCATATTTCCCCTTTTCAATAAATGGAAATACAGACTAAGTCAATATTTGTGATCAACGAAACAAAACATGTGTTTTGTGCTCTCTTTACTCCCATAAAGTTCAATTGTGCACTGAAGCCCAGCGTCATTCAAACACAATCTTATCAATAAAATAACAGATCATCTTACTGAGCCTAGTGACTCCCACCAGGAAATTTCTAGATTACTCCACATCTTGTGATGATGAACTATTCCTTCATTGCATATTCTGCAGACAAGATTACAAAACGAAGCTTCATTTCCTGAGCATTGGCAGAAGACAGAAAACAGTGAAATGAAGGCTCTGCTGCTGGTTATTACATTTGCTTGGATTTGTTCAAGAAGTTGGTCTAATGGACAGCTCAATGCAACCCAGGTACCATGAAATAATACTATTATAAGATATAAAATCCTTCTTGCATTATTCCTTTATTTTAAATGCTGAACCACATCTTAATAATATTTACTAAATGTTTATGTACTTCAGAAAGCACTCATTTAGGGAACAACTTGAGAGATATGCAATATTCTAAGTAAAATATAATTTAATATTAATTTTATATTATTTAATATGTAATTAATATTTTAATTTTAGACATTTCTCTTACATATACACATATAAACTATTTAAATATGCAAAGTATAATTACAAATATTATTAAAATATCAGATAGAATGTTTGTCATATTACATGCCCGTTGTTGTACATATAATTACTGCCTAAAATACAATATTACATGTCATTTTATTAATTACACACGCATATAATTATAATTATAAGCATCTCATCACTTATGTCTATTTTTCCCTCTGTTTTTCTCACACAGATTTACATGAATATGTTGGATTCTGTAAAACATTGGTCCATACACATATGTCTGCATTGAAAAAAATTTCTGTCAATTCTGTATTTTCCTATTTCCATTAAGATCAGACTCTAAGTGATAAAAAATCCAGAGACCAAACGAAATCTTAGGTTTTCCATAATATTTGTTGGCTAAGTTTTAAATATGTTAAAAAAACTTTCACCATCATGGCCTAGAGGTGGATTTGAATAATTATGTCACTTTATGTTTACACACTCTAGGGAATAGAAATTTTACTATATATGTAGAAATTTTGCTACTTACTATAAATTGCAATATATAGTAAATAGGATATTTCCGATTGCATTTGTTAAAATTTGAAGTTATCCTACAGTGTGTTTTGTTTATATTCATTCCCCTCCACCAACTCCTCTCAGATCTTTTCCCACCTCCCTACAAACTCTAATATATGTTCTTTCTCCCTAACAAAACAAGAAAAACATAAATTTATGCACTACTCAATAAAATCAGGGTTTTCCCCCCACTTAAGCTAAAAAAATTTGTTGGATGAGAGAAAAGATCCATCGATTTTCCTAACAGTGGCTTCATTCTCAGATCTCAGGTGACTGGCACACCATTGCCATGGCAGCCAAAGAAATTGATATGATCACCGATTATGGAATGCTGAAACTCTTTTTCCGTCACCTTGAGTGTATCAGAGGATGCAAGGAAATGATCCTGATGTTCTATGGCGAGTAAGTTAACCTTCCTTGCTACAGGGTAAAAGGTCAGACACTTGTCTGACAGGTGGATGACATTGCCACTCACAAGACATAAATATGTATGAAATAGTGAATAACACTGAGATATTGTTCCACATTGGAATTAAAATGTAATTTAATATACTTAATATGAATGTTTAAAATGTGTATATGTATGTTACATATACATTAAAATTATTTAAAGCAGCAGGCATCTTATAATTACAAGTAATATATACAAGTAATACTGGATAGTATGTCATGTGATACATCTATTGTAGTATATATGATTACAATATAAATTGTGATGTTACACATTACATGTGTATTAAAACACATACATAAATGTGCATTTCTACAATATTGTATCTTTTTGTATCATATATTTCACAATGATTATATCATATATCATACTGAATACTGTATTAAATATACTGCAATTATGTTAAAATAACTATATGAGACTAGAAAGATTGCTCAGGGGGTGAAGTAATTTTTAAATTTATTTATAACACTGTTATTTTATGATGTATATGTCACTATATAACAATAATTATATGTGTCACATATTAAATTTTGTATTTGATTATATTTATATGGTATATAATTGTTACAGCACATATTAAATTTTGTATTTGATTATATTTATATGGTATATAATTGTTATATGGTATATAATTGTTTGTGTTTTAGGGAATTTCCATGTGTGTGAAAATGTGGGTCTCTGCATCTATATGTGTTTCTTGTGCTTTTTCTTTGCCTCTTTTTTAGTTTGTTTGCTTTGCCCTATTTTGTTTTGTTTTGTTTTATAATTTTTCTTCCTTTTTAATATGCCTGTTCATTTTCTAATAAGAGAAAGAAAGAAAGGGTGTGGATTTGAGTGGGTGGGGAAGTTGGGAGGATCTGGGAGGAGTTGCAGGAGGGTACTAATCAGACCAGAGTATATATAAATAATCTACTTTTAATTTTTAAAAAGATGAGTTTTAGTTATATCAAGGATCTAGAAATTATTTCAGACATAATTAATGATGAATTCTAGTCATGGAAGTGGGAAGTATTTCAGAAAGAAAAATAGCATTTGCATCATTAAGCAGCACATGACCAAGACAGTCAGCATTTCAGATCTGATGGAGCAGAGTCTCACAAGGGCCTACTCCTGGATGGAGTGATTGACAGTTGATGGCTCCTGGAGAAGGAACAGAGTCTCACAAGGGCCTACTCCTGGATGGAGTGATTGACAGTTGATGGTTCCTGGAGAAGGAATAGTCACATTTCTTTAAGAATGTAGTCACTGGTGGGTCTTACATTCATATGTTCAACAGTAACTGGAGTTAGCAGGTTATGAAAGAGAGAGAGGGAGAGGGAGAGAGAGAGAGAGAAAGAAAGAAAGAAAGAAAGAAAGAAAGAAAGAAAGAAAGAAAGAAAGAAAGAAAGAAAAGCTGGGAGGAGGATGTGGGGAAGGGACTTACGAGGACTGGACTGCACAGAGATAGGTAGGATCCAAGTGCATTCTTGCATGTACAGAATTCTCATGCACAGCTGTGACTGCACATATGAATTTGGGTAGGGGTAAGTTCAGGGCATAAAGAGGAAATGGAGGGCAAAATGGGGGGAAGCTAGATATGATCAAATTTTATTGTGTGCATGTATGTTATTATGAAAAATGTCAATGTGGAATATAAAAAAGTAAAATAAAATCAGAATAAAATTAGGACTAGGGTAAAGAAAAATAAAATTACAGTAAAACTCATTGTGACTTCAAGAAGTGTTGGCTGCCATGTGCAACATTGGTTTAGATGATTTTAAATACCTAACTGGAAGTGTAAATGAAAAGTTGAATGAAATTTTGACACATAATAAATGGAATTTCATGTTTATCAGCAGAGAAATTACAGTGGATCTGGTGTGGAGGGGAAAGAATGATATGATTCATTTTCTGTACAATCACTTGTTCTCAGATAACAGTAAGTAAGAGATTGTACACCAGGAAGAACTTTCTAGAAATACTAGCCATTGAATAATACATATGAAAATGAGTAAGTTTCCCATTTTACAAATATAGTTAGAATCTAGCTGGAGACCTTAATAGTCCATCCCTTGCTTCTTTCAAAGTGGTTATTAGTTAAGATAGTAATACCAAAAATCTGAATTGAAAAATGGTTTAAACACTGAGCCAAAATCTTGGAATCCATTTGCAGAGAGGGAAGAGTGATGAGCAAAGGGGTCAAGACCATGCTGGGGAAACTCACAGAAACAGCTGAACTGAACAAGGGGGAGCTCTTGGACCCCAGCCAGACAGCTGGGGAACCAGCATAGGACCAGACCAGGCCCTCTGAATGTGGGTGTCACTTGGGAGCCCTGGGCGGTCTATGGGGCGTCTGACAATGGAACCAGTATTTATTCCTAGTGTATGAATGGAATTTGGGAGCCCATTCCCTATGGAGGGATACTCTCTCAGTCTGGATACACAGGGGAGGGTCTAGGCCCTGCCCCAAATGAAGTGACAGACTTTGATGATCACCCATGGAAGGCCATACCCTCCCTGGGGAGTGGATGGGGAGTGGGATGGTGGGGTTGGGGGATATGGGAGGTTGGGAGGGAGAGGGAACTGGGATTGATATGTAAAATTTAAATTTAAAAATATTTTAAAAAGGAAAAAAGAAAGGCTTAAAATATACCATTATAATCCAGTAACAACAAAGACACATTAATTTTAGGTTTCACATTATCAGTGATGGTTTTGTATTCCTCAGATCTGTTTCTGACATGCAAATACATTTATCTCTGCTTGTGCATCCCCCCTCAGGTTTGTATGTCCATCTGTGCCTATAATCACTGATGTCTACATGAATTTTCTTGGTGAGTGAATGCAAGTTGAATTAACAGAAGTCAAAGTGTTTAACAATGATTATTTCAGGCAAGCAGTGGTGGCACATGCCTTTAAACCCAACACTTGGGAGGCAGAGGCAGGAGAATCTGAGTTTGATGCCAGCCTATTTTATTCTACAGAGATTTCCAGCACAGCCAGGGCTTCACAGAGAAACCCTGTCTTGAAAATTATGTCCCTCTCCCTTCCCCCCCCCCTCTCTCTCTCTCTCTCTCTCTCTCTCTCTCTCTCACACACACACACACACACACAGATATAGTGATAAATTCAGTGTCTTTGCCATTATTCAGGTCACACAGGACCACAATACATGGCATTTGTCTGTTTGCCTTTTAGGGTGGATGAAGAATGTGAAAAGTTTGAAATCGAAGCAAAACAAGTGTTCTCAAAGGAGTTTTTTTGTACCTGTGAGTATGTGACCTTTCTGGAAATTTTCAAGTCCTTGGTGCTGGCTTCATCCTATAACACAAGCCTGGAAGAATTTGTTTTTCCAGTTCCTCACCAGGCCTTACACCTGTCACTGTGTCTTTGAAGAAGTCATTTTATCTCATCACATATGTCATATTAAATTGCCAAAAAAAACCCAAAATCTCATTGTGAGATGTTCACATGCAGAACAGATGAGATTATCTTTTATGTAGAATACTTTAAATATCATGTTTACTATAAATATTATCTTGACTAGTCAGTAAATAATCAAGTTTTTCAATGAAAAATAAATATTCAGGGCAAGAGAAATGGTCAGCAGTTAGGGGAGCTTACTCTGATCCCAGCACCCACATATGATGCTACAAAACCATTTGTAGTTCCCTGACTTTGGGGGATCCAAAGTTTTCTTCTGGATGCTGAGAGCACCCTGGTCACATCCATAAAAACAAAGGTACATATGTACGTATAAATGAAAATAATATCAACCTTTAAAAACAATAAAATATTCAAGTGTTTAAAAGATATTTAATAACAGTTAAATGAGTATATTGATTGTAAAAAGACATTTATAAATAATTTAATGCATGTATTCTGATTAGCTGACATCACAAAGATAATGGCAGTGATTAAAAAGAACAGATTAAAATATTCATACCAAAGTGTACTTAATTTAAACTTCAATCCCAATGAGGACAAAAGTTTATAGTTTTTCATTTGCAATAATTTTGTAATGGTTGGCAATAATTTGCAATAATCAGCCTTACAGAATGCAATGGCTAAATGTGTAAGTAACTTATTTTGTGGAGAAAATGTACAATATATTATTCTCATCTCAGCCTGAAAAATCTCTATTTTGAACTTAAATGTGACTGACTACCTGACTCTAACATGTGGAGGGGATTATTAATGAATCAGCAGCACTGATGAAGGAAGGAGAAATAACTGTGTGGTCCTTGAATTGTGCTTGGTCAAATTAAAAAAGATAGTGTTAAAATGTTTGAATTCTGACACCTATCTTTTCACACCACAGATGCAGGCAAACATCAGTTCCGTATTCTGTATGTATCAAGTTCAATCATGGTCATTTTTGATTACTATTTAACCCCTGATGAGAATTTGATAAAAGTGCTGTTTTTGGTTGGTAAGTATCATGACTCTTGCATTGTTGTTGTTGTTATTGTTCTTTTATTGTGCCTGCATATATGTCTGCACACTATGTGTGTGCCCAGTGCCAACGGAGACCAGAAAAGGGTGTCAGATCCCTTGAACTGGAGCTACAGAGGGTTGTGAATCACCATGTTGGTGCTGGGACTCAAGCCCAGGTCCGCTGAAGAGCTGCCAGTGTCCTTAACCACAGGGCCATCTTTTCAGATCCTCATGAGTCTTTTTCTGCAATGCAGAACATAGCTACATCATGTCTGTTTTTAATTAAAAAGAGAAATGTATGCATACATTATCTACATAAAATGCATTTGTTCATAGATGTATCCACAGAGGAAGTTCATTTCCCTTCATGAAATCAAGGATGCAGAAAGATTTTTTATTAAAAATAAAGACATATCCACTAGGGGCTGCCATTAGAAGGGTTTCATTAAACTGGACACATACAATCTGGTGATACAAGAAAATAAGATGCCCCATCAAATTGTCAAGGTTCACTCACTGGTAGATGGGTTACCTTACCTTATAATCCAAGAATTAAAATTTGAATTCAGATACTTTAAGAGAAAATGGGTATTGAACTTAGGTTTGAGAAATGTAAAAGGGGAGATTTTAAATTTTTTTCATCATCCTGTTTGTGGAAAGCTGACATTATTTATACCCCCCTCTTTCATCAGGGGCCTATACTATGAAGGAATGGGTATGATGATAATGACAGAGGTTATAGTGGGAGACAAAAAGCAATAACTTTGAAACCTCCTAAGTCTTAGCGGAGCCCAAAGTTGTTAGTTTTGGAGAATAAAAAATACCCAGTGGGAGTGGGGATGCTCAAATTTACAGCAAGGAACTCAGTGTGCTTAGTAGCCCTACAATTGTGAATTTTGTAGGTCTACAATTGTGAATGTGAAATGATGTTCCCCATTTTGAGTACTTGTCAAGTTACCATGAAAGACAGGTGGGAGCTGGGAGAAGATGCACAAGGTGGGACACATGGTAGGGCAGCCTGGGGGATGCATTCCACTCTGAAAAACATTCCACAGGCTTCTCTTCTTTTTTCCACACAATGAAGGGAAAGGAGATAGTGTGAGTGGAGAAGAGCAACAGAAATTTGCAGAGCTGTGTGACAAGATGCGCATTCCAAAGGAAAAAATCAGATACATGTTTGAGAAAGGTAAACAAGTGGCCATAGAGGGGACACTAGGTGTCCCCTGATACTTTATATGAAATTAAAAATTAAAATACAGCATTGTATTTGATTCAAATTTACTATTGACACCTTTTTTTAACTTATAATCTTTACAACTATTGAAAATGTCTACAAAGCATGCATTCTTGTGTTCTGCCCTATTTTGCAGATATTTGTCCTAAATAAAGACATGCATACCTTGGGTGAGTAGACATATATTTCCCACTTTTATGGAAATCGATGCTTTTGGTTTTGTTATACTTTTACAAATACCGATGTGTATGTGGGTGGGTGGGTGTATGGGTGGGAATGGCAGTGGTGTGGATGCAGTACCCTTGATGCACAGAAGATAGCAGAAGATCCCATAGCATTAACATCATGCTGAAACTGGAGCCAGATCTTGCAACAGAGCAGAGATGGCTCTTATGCACTGTTCCTATCAGCCTTCATATTAAGGATCTCTACTTGTTTTGCTCCCTCAAGATAAACAGTTAAATTTTTAGCTTTGGAGACAAATAAATCCATGAACTCTGAGATACTGAATTTTAGGGTGAATTTTAAACAGCCAAATATTTTTTGAAGCTTTATGTGATGCAGTTTTCTCTGTGGTATAGACCTCAGTATTGACCTTGGAAATATGAATTCTCAGGATTTATGCAGAGTTTTTAAATTTCTTTTTATTTATTCTTTGTGTCTTTCACATCACGCATCTCAATCCAATTAATTTCTCATTCTTGCCCTTACCCTTGCAGCCCTCCCCCCAAAAAAATTAAAGAGAAAAAAATCTCATCATGGAAGCTGTAGTGTGACATAGTGAATCACACAGTAAACCCTTGTGTCTGTATATCTTTACTTGCAAGTGTTCATTGCAGAGAGACATTGGTTTGGTTTGAGGCCTCTAGTTTCTGCCACACAATCGATGCTGTGTCCTCACTGAAACTCCTCCTGGATATTCTGTTTTTGCCCTGTGTCATGGAAATCCTCCAGCTTTGTGACTGCAGGTCCGGTCCTTCATGTGCTCCAGCAGATCAGATAGGATGGAAATTGGGGTGGGTCAACCCCCACATTTGGTGCTGGGACTGAGTAGTTGCAGGGTTGGTCATAGCACCAGCTTTCCCTTTTCCTCACCACCAGAGTGAGCTCTACTACACCGATTTGATGAGTTCACCCTTTGCAGCAATGAGCAACGGGTGGGGCCAGTTCTGCTTTCATGTTCTCAGGGTCCAACCTTTCCATACCTACACCTTCAGGTCCAGCTCTATTTGTTGACCTAGTGAGGAGTATGGGCCACTCTCCCAAGTGCTGCAGCTGATGAAGGGTAGAGCCAGCTTTCCTGCTAGTATGACCACGGGCCAGTTCTCCCACCTGCCTCAGGCATTGATGGGCTGGGTGGGGCAGGCATCTCTCTCCCACACATGCAGCCATATGATAGGTAGGTTATAGGGACAGCTCTCCCATGCTCACAACTTTAGGGCTGGCTAACCCACACCTCCACCAAGAGGATTGGCTCTGTCGTACTGCCCAGACAAGGTGCAGGGCCTGCTCTCCTGAGTGTTGCAGCTGGTGGCAGGCAGGGGTAGCTCTCCTTCCCTTCTGACCTCAGGACCAGTTCTCTCACCTGCCTCAGGTTATGCAGAATTTTGCAAAATTAATATAATTTTCCATTAAATTACTCAAATTAACATTCATGCCTGATTTACACAGATGGTATCCCATGAAGTGACCTTGACATGACTTCACTCTATTACATTTAATAGAATATATCATTTATATACAGCAATGAGTCCCATAATGGCATTTTCATACATATATCATATATTGTGATCATATTCCAACTCCCTTACACCCCTCTCATCCACACTTGTCATCTTCCTCATCCCAACTGATGAGACTACATTCTACTTTCTTACACATTATATATATATTATATATATAAACGTATTCTATATTAATTTTTATTATATATTATATATTATGCTTTATATTATATATAAAGTTAAGTTTCTGGTGATCCAATAATTTTAATTAAGATTGCCTGCAAACACATGTGTACAGACTTATTCACAGGAGTATAGGCCCTTCATCAGTACCTACACCACTGTAAATAGTCTCTGTCCCCTCTTCCCAGCAACCATTAACTGCCTATAGCTTCTCAGGAATGGACAGGGCCTTGTGAGTGAGTATCCTTAACCACACAGCAACTTTTAACTGTCTATAAGACAGATGAATCAGAAGGGATAAGGCCTTATGATCCCCACCAATTCCACCAGGGAATGATGATTGGTCCAACTTGGTTCAGGTCTTCATTTGAAAAGTTAAGTACAGTATGCTGCTAAAAACAGCTCACCTACATGTTGTTTTGCCAAGCTGTGGAACTTTTAGGAGATGGGTCCTAGCCAGAGGAAGTGAGTCAGATCTTAAGGACTATATCCTGGCTCAGGTTCCAGGCAGATTTCAGTCTGTTTCCTGGGCAATGTGAGATGTGGACAAGAAGGCCCTGACATTACAGGTATGAGGCCCCACCCACCATCATGCCTTGCCATCATGATAGACCAATACCCTGGAACCATGAGACCAGATGAATTCTTCTTGCATTAAGTTGCTTCCTGTCAGATGTTTGATCTCAAGAGTGCAAAGGGATGGAACTGCTGCCTTGAGTTACTTCTCTGTAACCCCACCTTCATAGAAACCCTATTCATAGCCAAGGCGTGAAAGCAGCCTGTGTCCATCAATAAACTATTAGATAAGGCAAAAAAAACAGCTCACCTAACTTAAACTTTTTCCTTTTCATCTCCACAGATAATGATAAGATCAAGAATATTTGCAATAGGGAATTCTCCATGGCAATTGACTCATCTATCTAATTGTTTTTACTATCCTATGAAGACATAAGCCCTGATTTATTGTTTCCTTTCATTTCTGCATGTATCCCTTTATGATGTTCCTCACTTCCTGATTAAATTGATACTATATGCATACACACATCTTGGAAGCGTGCTCTTAAAATATTCAGTGCTTAGAAATACTTAGCCACACACAACCACTAAAAAGATCAGTGTCTATTGTCAAATATGAGAATTTTATTTAAAAGAATAATTATTTGGCCTGAAAAAGGGAAAGCATATCGACCCCAGATGCTCTTTGGGAGGACAGTACAGGACTAATCCAGCCCCCTGATCATGGATGCCAATGGGGAGGCCCCTGCACTCCTGGGAGCCTCTAGAGGTGGACTGGCGTTTTGCCCTGGTGGGTGGGAGGGACTTCGAGAGCCCATCCCACTTGAAGGGATTCGCTCTGTCTCTGAACACATGGGGAGGGGCCTAGGCCCAGCACAGGAAGATTTGGTGGACTTGGTGGAGCCCTGGTTGGGGGCCCTACCCTGCCTGGGGGAGAAGGAATGGGGGTGGGGGGAGGGAGAGGGAGAGGGAAAGTACATGTGAAAATATTAATAATTTAATAAAAAATGCAAAAAAAAGAATAATTATGGGGTTGGGGAGATGGCTTAGTCAGTGCTTGCTAGCAGCTGCCAACCACCTAAGGCTTCTGAAGTGGGAGTGGGCCTCATGAGCCCTTCCCCACACATATTGGTATAATTGCATGGTTTGACCTCATGCACATAACTGAAGCCACTTTGAGTTCATGAGTCTCTGAGCCATGTCTAACCCAGAGGCCAACACATCACAGCAGTCCTCTCTCTCCTCTGCCCCTTACAAGCTTCTAGAATGTTCCATGAGTGTCTGAGGATGTGGAGGATGGTTGCTGTAGGTGTTCTATATTTTTCTAAGCACCTGCATTTGCATATTCTCAGCATTTTGAACAGTTATAAGTCAATTATGTGTTGAATGTTAATTTTGCCCAATCATTTACTATGACCAATGAATGCAGTATTTATGATAATTGTTCATCTATTGGACTGAAGTTTTATAAAGAGCCTTTGAAAATGCATTTCTCTATAGAGACTTTAAATGATGTATTCTGCCTGAAAAGGTTGCTGTCGTATTTCAGTATACATATGTGAAATCAATCTGTTAAGTCAATATTTCTGTAATTCCTGGTGTACTATAGGCATTATACTCATTATATGAATCCAAATATAATAAATGAACAAAGATACATTTATCTAATTTATAAGTACTCAAGTTTTATTTTTTTCTCTTTTTTATTTTAAAACTTTATTTTTAAATTAGGAACAAGCTTGTTTCACATATCAATCCCTTCTACCTCTCCCTCCCCTCATGCCCACCCTACCACCCCCACTCTGACCTACCCCTACCCCATTCACCTCCACTCCCCAGGCTGGGTAGGGCCCTCAACAGGGGCTCCCCAAAGACCACCACATCATCCTGGGCCGGGACTAGGCCCTCCCCCATGTGTCCAGGCCAAGAGTGGATCCCTTCATGTAGAATGGGCTCTTAAAGTCCCTTCTTACACCAGGGAAAAATACTAATCCACTACCAGGGCCCCCCTAGAGTGCAGAGGCCTCCTCATTGACAT